ATACATCAAATATGATAAGTAAAGTACGGCTGTTTCTTAAGTCTTAATAATATTTAAAAATAATGTATTTATTATAGGTATTTAAAACTTGTAAATCTTATTATTAATACTAACATGATCTTATATAACAAAACATCTACAATCATGATATTCTTATTATAAAAAAAAAAATGGTATATACAAAAATATTATACATGCACCATACATGGAATAGCGTGATATGTCTGAATATCCTTTCCAAAGATATAAAAGTCTATTGGATTTTTTAATAACGGCTGTTCTGTGTATCCAATCAGAAACATTTAAATAGATTATGAAATTACGGTAAAGATAGATATATAAAGATAAATATATATGTTAAAGATTATAATGATTATATTATTTCTCAAACGTAAATTAATATAATAATTTAATAACATAACACGATCATATGCTATATCATAGTACATTATTGATGATGCAAACAATTCTTGTACCTTTTTTTTAAGAATATCATAATTGTGGATATTTTGTTTTATAAGATTATGTGCGTGCGTGCGTGCATGCGTGCATGCGTGCGTGCGTGCGTGCGCGCGCGCGCGTGTGTGTGTGTGTGTGTGTGTGTTAATAGTATTAATGGTACACTTTACAATTAGTTTTATTAAATATTTATAATAAATACATTATATTTATTGTCGCTTATAATAAATATGTGTATCATACATTACAGGATGTATTAGAATATGATGTAACTCACCTTAACATGGAAACATTGGAATTGCTGCAGATGCTATTATAAAGACATCTTTATTTGTAAAAATTATAAACTATCATAAACTATTACAAAAACATGTTGTAAACACATTTAAAATAAAAAATAAAATATTTTATTATGCAAGATATTTTTTCATATAAAGATATAAAAAGACTATGTGAAAATATTTTTTCTAAACATATTATTATAATTAATTTAAATATTGTATTATGAAAATTGTTCAAGATAATATCATTTTAAACATTATATCTGAAAAACTATTCAAGAGAAGGAGACATTTCAAATATAATTATTTCATAATTCATGCGTTAAAAAATGAGTATATTAGACTCATTTCGAAAAACCAATAAAAAATCAAAATATCTACCGAAAGAGAATGTGAAAAGGATTTAATTTTCTTGTCACAGAAAGAACACACAGAGAGAAAAATATAATAATGTGAACATCGATCAATATGTGAGTATATACAATTTAAAAATAAAACTTCTTCTATATTTAAAACCAGTTTTATAATAATATTATCTCTATTTATTTATTGTTAATAATATTTTCAAAAATTATTTTCGAAACGAATTTTGAAAGTTGCTGCTAACAAATTTGCAAAATATCAAATTCTAACTTTAATAAAACTTTATATATTGTACATATTGGTTATAGTAAATAGATAGAATTTAGAAAACATCAGTTGCTGCTCAAAAATGGTTTTAAGAGGTAAAATTTTATGTGCAAAGCGGTTTTCATTATATCTGAAAAATCAAGAAATCAAATAAAGTTTTATGTAAAATTTTTATAATAAAATGATCTCTATTTATTCACGTCACAATATTTTTGAAAAATTAT